AGGCCCTTCCAGCTCAACATCAGGGAGGTCAACGTCGAGTTTGGGGCCCTTGAGGTCAACGTTGGGGCCCTGCAGGTCTCCTTCCACCTTGGGCAGGTTCACATCGACGTCTCCCTTGACCTTGGGGCCCTTCAGGTGGAAATCCACGTCAGGCATGGAGAACTTGGGGGCTTTGATGTTCATCTCAGGCATCTTGAACTTGGGCCCTTTGAGTTTTCCCTCAGGACACTCCAACTCAACGTCAGGAAGGTCAACATCGACTTTGGGGCCCTTGATGTCGATCTCAGGTCCCTTCAGGTCTCCTTCCACCTTGGGCAGGTTCACATCCACATCTCCCTTGACCTTGGGCCCTTTGAGGTTGAGATCAAAGTCAGGCATGGAGATCTTGGGGGTCTTGAAGTGCATCTCAGGCATCTTGAACTTGGGGCCCTTCACCTTCCCCTCCGGGAGGTCAATGTCCACCTCTGGCCCTTCAATGTCCACTCTGGGCCCTGAAAGATCCAGATCTGCGGATGGCAGGTTCATATCCACCTCTGGACCTTCTGCCTTCACTCCAGGGACACCAAACTTGGGCATCTTGAAGTCAGGCATGGAGATCTTGGGGGCTTTGATGTGCATCTCAGGCATCTTGAACTTGGGCCCTTTGATCTTCCCTTCTGGACACTCCAGCTCGACATCTGGAGCTTCTATGTCCACTTTGGGGCCTTTTAGGGAGACTTCTGGTCCCTTCAGGTCACCTTCCACCTTGGGCAGGTTCACATCCACATCTCCCTTGACCTTGGGCCCTTTGAGGTTGAGATCAAAGTCAGGCATGGAGATCTTGGGGGTCTTGAAGTGCATCTCAGGCATCTTGAACTTGGGGCCCTTCACCTTCCCCTCCGGGAGGTCAATGTCCACCTCTGGCCCTTCAATGTCCACCCTGGGCCCAGACACGTCGAGGTCTCCTTTGGGCAGGGTCACATCCACCTCAGGTCCCTCCCCCTTGAAGCCTGAGACCCCAAACTTGGGCATTTTGAATTTGGGCATCTTGATCTTGCCCTCTGGGCCGTGGATGTCCACGTCAGGGGCCTCAATGTCCACCTTGGGGCCCTTGAGGTCAAATTCAGGGCCCTTCAGGTCACCCTCGAGCTTAGGAACGGACACATCGACGTCTCCCTTGACCTTGGGGCCCTTCAGGTGGAAATCCACGTCAGGCATGGAGAACTTGGGGGCTTTGATGTTCATCTCAGGCATCTTGAACTTGGGCCCTTTGATCTTCCCCTCAGGCCCTTCCAGCTCAACGTCAGGGAGGTCAACGTTGACTTTGGGGCCTTTGATGTCGATCTCAGGTCCCTTCAGGTCTCCTTCCACCTTGGGCAGGTTCACATCCACATCTCCCTTGACCTTGGGCCCTTTGAGGTTGAGATCAAAGTCAGGCATGGAGATCTTGGGGGTCTTGAAGTGCATCTCAGGCATCTTGAACTTGGGCCCTTTGATCTTCCCCTCTGGGCCCTCAAGTTCAACGTCAGGAACATCTATGTCCACTTTGGGGCCTTTCAGCTCCACATCTGGGACCTTCACCTCCCCC